TCCCGGCGTTTCCCGCCCTCCCGTTTGCCCCTGGAAGCATCCGTGCAAACGCACGGGGCAGCTCTGCACTAACCCTTCATCACTGCAGAACAAACCCGGTGCGGAGACGAGCAGCGCCTGCCTTTTAGGCAGCCAGGGCAAGCTCTGGGCCAGGGGAGCACTGTGGCTTTCCTTGTAACTGGGGGAATGGAAAGCAAAATGTAATTAAAAGCCTGTCTGCTGGCACTGGGGCTTTGTGGCTTGGTTTAGCATGGTAGGTTTCCACGCCTGGTTTGATTTCAGTCAATTTGGGAAGGAGCCTGGGTGAACATCCAGTGTTTTTCTGGATGCTGTTTCTTTCTGTGTTTCAGGAAGCTTTGTGCAAGAGTGAAAGATCTCGAGTGATGGAAAAACAGAAATATGCTCCAGTGTGGACACTCAGGAAGAGCCCCCCACCAGACTGGTACCTCCCCCTCGACCACAACAAACCAGAGTAGCAAGACTATTCTGCCAGGGTTGGTCAGTAGACAATGCACAACACAGAAAAAATGCTGCTTTGGTTTTCTCTCTATGATACCACTCTAGTTCTGCCCTGTCCACCAGTTAATTCAAGTACTGTCGAAAGTTTATTTAAACAGTCAGTGTTTCTAAAGGATGAATTAAATGTGTAATTTACTTCTGATTTCTTCCTGCTGTCCCACACTTCAGGATCTCTTCTCAGCACTTGAGATGCAAGCAAAGACATCTCAAATGCATGTGTGATCCAACTGCCCTTCCTCAGCAGTGACTCCCTGATGTGCCGGTGTTACACATGCTGGAGCACGGCAGCACTCAAGGCACCGGAGAAAACAAGAGCCAGGATTCCTCCTTGCCAGTGCAGGACAATCCTAACCACCGGCATTTCGAAGGCATCAGACGGCTTCACTGTTGTCATACTTCAGGGAGTCTCATGTGATGGCATTAAACTGCCCTTGGACAGCGGTGCTTGGTCTTTTTAAATGTCTGTGGCAATATTCAGAGTTACTACAAAAATAAAAGCTTAAATGATTGAAAAGAGGTCACTTTCATTTTAAGCAAATACTGTTAAAAATAGAAACTTTCTATAATATTACTTACACACCAAGTACATGCTAAACTTACTGCAATACAAAGCAACAAAATAAAGTCCCTTATTTCTGGTGCTATCACAGAATGTTTCCCATCCATTTTGCATCCATTATATACATAGATACTTAGCTAAGTTTGAATAAAAGAAAGGCAGGAAAAACAGCTACTACCTCTCTTCTAATGCAGACTCTAAGGTAATCACTGTGCCTCTCTTTTTCATAGCATAGAAGTCTTAAATGCTCTAGTTTGTGCAGAACAAAATAATACTGCTCAGAAACATATGCAGGCATGACAGTAATAAGCCAACAGAGAAGATACTGAGTAACATACTGCTTCCTTGCCTTGTTGTGGTATGGCACGGGATACAGTGGAACAATTTTGTCAGATGCTTTATTACCTAAAGGTAGCTGGTTTTAAAGAAAAACATTTCACAATGCTGGACATTTGTTTTTTTAATACAGTCACACACCTACAAGGTTTTAAACTGCAACAGGAATCATTCATTCTCTTTTCTTCTTCACCCAGCTGAGTGTTTCATATCCACTGAACAATAAATCCTTCCCATGTTAGTGTGTATACACCTTGGTGATATCAATGCATTTTCCTTCGGGAGGATCATAATCAGGAAGTGGAGGGGTGTAATTAGGTCCTTCCCTCTCAAAGGGAAAAAGTCCTTCATCTCGTTTTATTGCCGCTTGATACAACTCTTCAGATTCAAGGCGCAGCTCCTTTAGTGCTGCTTGCTGAGATGCAAGGAGAGTTTGAATTGCTTTCTTCTCTGCCTCGTCTTGTTTCTGCTTGTACAGAGACCACTTTTTCATAAGCAGAACCCTTCTTTCAGTCTCCTCAGAAGACAGAGGTGGAAGACTTCGCACTCTGATAAGGAATAAAACATTGTAATAGAGAATTTTCTTGAACCCTGAAGAGCAAATGACCAAAAAAACAGAACAACAACAAAAAAGCTCATAGCGAAAGACAGCCTTAGTTACCTGTTGCTTTCCAAGTATTTAGGTGGTGTCACAAAATCTTCAATTGGAATCATTTCTTGGGCAGCTTTTTCCAACTTTCTTATCTTCTTCTTCATGCGCTCCTTCTGTGCTTGCTCTCTCTTTACATCTACTTTCTTCTTCTTTTTGGGTTGTGCTCTAGCAAGGGAAATCATCACACAAATGAAACAAGGAATGTTCTCACTGAACTCAGTACTAGCAAATTGCACTTCAGCTTCACTCTTCTAGAGACCATGGTCCCTTTCTATTGCCCAATTTGGTCCCTATTGAAATTTCAACTATTTAATAAAATAATATAACTTCCAGCACAATGTCATGTGTTTTATGAGATTTAGGGAGTTCCACTAAAATTGACATGGAACTTGTTTCCAAATAGCTCAGAGTGCAACAGAGCTGAAACAGGTATATCTTCAAACACTCACATTATCTAACATTGAAACACAATGATTTTATACAGGTTTTTAAAATTTCCATACTTGAAGCCAAATTCAGGGTGCAGACATTACCCATCTGTCGTCCTTATCCACACAGTATATGCAAGAGAACATACGACCCCACCACAAAAGCTAATCCTCACAGTATTCCTGCAGGACAGCATTTCTGCTTTACAGGTGGGAACTTTTGTACTAAAGTATTTTCAGTTCAGCTAGTTTTTCCATTTCAACTGCCGCTCAAAGTAGACTTATGCAGCACAGCCTAAATCTGAACATCTCCAACCACATTATGTGGCAGAGGAAGCAAGTAAACACAACTTAAGTGCAACAGTTCAAGCCATGATTTTATGGGTTAGCAAGAGCCCAACAGCTGTAGCTGCTTTTATATGTAATGTCCCACTGCAAACATGTACATTAAAAAAGTAATTTGGACTTGGAGAAACCCATGTTGCTGTAAGTCCCCGTAGCTGGACGGAAGCTGCAGTCACCTCATGGGGAGCGACGCATTAAACGCCAGCAGCGACGTCTGCCAGTGGCTCCCTCGAGACTGAACTGCCTGGGGCAGCCACGAACTGAAGAAATAAAAGAAACATAAACTATTAGGAAGAAACACGAAGTACTCGGATTTCCCATCCATTTGGGAAACTGCACAAAATGCTCATTAAAGTCACAGAGAACAACGAGTTTTGAATCATCCTTGGCTACTTCAGCCACGACTGCAGCCCAGGGCACCGCGAGATGAACAACCTCCCCCGCAGGTGACTGGAGCCCCGCTCTGGGCCGTCCAACGCGGTGGATCCCGACGGGCCCAAGGAACAACCTCGGCTTCCAGCGACGCCGTCTCCCACCCGCGAGGCCCCGGCCGCCCCTACCTGCACCGGG